ATATATATATATATATATGCGATTAATCACATCCAAAATAAAAGTTTTTGTTTACATAATATATGTTTGTGTACTGTGTATATTTATCATGTATATATAAATACACACACATACAGTATATATTCTGAAAATATTTACATGTGTGTGTGTGTATATATATATATTCATATAATTTATATTATATATATTAATATTAAATATATTTTAATTATTTAAAATAATATTTTTTATTGCATTTCTCCAATATATGTATTTACAAATTATAATTATTTTTATTCTTAATACAATTTAAGTGAAGATATAATTGAAAAGTAAACATGTATTTTAGTATATATTACTTTATATATTAGTGCTTATATGATGGCTTACATTCATCCTGGCATATAATTTTTATATTGAATTCTTGATGTCAGTCTGTAGGTGGTGTATAAACACCAGCACTTTTCACACAGACGCTTTCCTTTCAGTATGAATCAGTCAAACTGACCCTCACTGTGTGTCCATTCCTCTATTAAACTCAGCCAGTGCGTTTAGCAGAGCCACGCTTCATTTATTCTGAGAGATGAAGGCAGAGGAGAAGAGTGCTTGAGAATCGAGGTCTTGGCCCTGGGCTGTTCCCTCTACCTCTCAGACTCTCTATTGTACTTCTAAACACACACACACACACACACACACACACACACACACACACACACACACACCGTAGCCATGTCTATAGAAGCAGTGGCCTCGTCCATAATCAGAATACTGCTCTTCCGCACGAATGCGCGCGCCAGACAGAAGAGCTGACGCTGCCCCTGGCTGAAGTTCTCCCCACCTTCAGTTATTATGGCATCTGAAACACAAGGTGAAAGATCATCAATCATAATTTTACAGAGCTTTTGATTCGCAGTCTAAACGTTTTTTATACATTCAGAGTGAAATGTTGCTACAGCTGGCTTGATGTCTGGAGGTGATGTGATTATCAGCTGACCGCGCAGTCAATTTGATGTGCTCTCGTTTAGAAATATGAGATATAATTTCTGTTGGGACTGTCCAGAGGGGTACACATTCATTCCTAAAAGCATCTATTCATAAAAGCCTATAAACCTCATTTCTAAGCCTATTTATTCATCTCTCAATCATTGTTGTGTTGCATTGCATTAGTGCTGGGCGGTATACCGGTTCATACCGAATACCGGTGTTTATTTTTGTTATGATATTAATTTTTAAAATACCGCAATACCAGTGTATGTCGCTTAAACAACGTTCGGAACGTTCGGCACTGTTTGAAAGGGGTCCCTTTTCACTGTTGGACTGTGGTGAGGGAACAGCTGTATGTGTTACTAAGCTGAAAGTTCAGAAACTGAAGCTGTAGAACTAATAGAACGTGATGACACAGAAGAACTCGTCCACAATATCCACACTGACCGCCACAAATATCCACCACCCCCTGCCATTACTCTGTCATTTAAATTACATTAGCTTAAACTTGAAACATGAGTCACCTTCAAATGTGTCCACCATCCGGAAAAAGGCTAATGAGAAAGACGACTTGCCACTTCCTGTTCTACCACAGATTCCAACCTATAACAGATAAACACAACAGTTCCCCTTCAGGAACTTGAGCTGTGTCGAAACGCTATGGGAACGCCTTCAGCGTGACCACGCTTTGAATCGTGTGTAATCAGTCCAATGGATGGGCGAGACTAAACACTTGGGCGAAAGCAGACAGCGTTTCTGGCTGTGCGTTGTCTGCTTGGGAGCAAAGATTAGGTTGTTGAGACCATCCTCCAATCCAGAGCTCCCTCTACGAGGAAACTGTATGCCTTGATGCTTTTCACTTCTTGGTGCAGAGACCGCCAGCTCGACCCAGTTAATTGCCCAGTTGGTTCAGTGCTGGAGTTCCTGCAGGACCCGATTCTCCGCAAGGTTGACCCACTCCACCTTGAAGGTCTACATGGCAGCCATTTCGGCCTACCACGCTTCTCTCGGTGGTCAGTCAGTGGGCAGGCACCCCCTTGTTACACGTTTCCTCCGCGGTGCACTGAGGCTTAGGCCTTCTGTACAATCTCTCGTCCCCCCGTGGAACCTGGCTGTGGTGCTAGAAGCTCTCTGTAAACCTCCTTTCGAGCCGATAGAGGAGATATCTGATCGCCATCTCACTATTAAGACTACCTTCCTTCTGGAGATTTCTTCTCTCAAGAGACTTGGGGATTTGCAGGCCCTTTCAGTGGCCCCTTCTTATCTAGACTTTGCGCCCGGTCTGGCCAAAGCGTTTCTCTACCCACGTGCGGGTTATGTTCCTAAAGTTCCCTCCTCTACACCGTGGCCTGTCATACTCCAGGCCTTCTGTACTCCCTTTCAGGACCCAGACCAGCAGAAGCTTAATTGTATGTGTCCAGTGTGAGCAGAGCTGAACAGAGATGCACTGTGGAGAAGGGCGGACCAACTGCTAGTGTGCTATGGTTCCCCCAAGAGAGGTCTTCCTGCTACTAAACAGACCCTCAGCTGGTGGATAGTGGATGCCATTTGTCTTTCCTATGAGTCCTCTGATCTCCCCTCGCCGTTGGGGGTCAAGGCTCACTCTACCAGAAGTGTGGCGGCCTCCAAGGCCTTTCTGGCAGGTGTTTCTATGCAGGACATCTGCAATGCTGCGGGGTTGGTCCACGCCCCTAAAGTTCGTCAAGTTCTATGGCCTAGATATCCGAGCCACTCCGGGCTCCTCTGTTCTCTCGCCCTAGCTGTGCTCTTACACACTAGGCAGGGATTTGTAAGTCTGGTGGCATGGGCATACTCGTTCCCATAGCGTTTCGATGCAGCTCGAGTTCCTGAAGGGAACATCTCCAGGTTACACATGTAACCATGGTTCCCCGAGGGAACAAGACGCTGCGTTTCAGTGCCATACTTCCGGCATCCCTCTGAGCACTTGCTTAATTTCCCAGAAGCTGCCGCTGTATCCACCGCACCTGCTTTTAAGCCTCCTGGTCTCTACGTTACCCCGCCCGTGACGTCTCGCCCATCCATAGGACTGATTACACACGTGATTCAGAGTGTGGTCACGCTGAAGTAGTTCTCATAGTTTTTCGATGCAGCGTCTCGTTCCCTCAGGGAAACCAGGGTTACATGTGTAACCTAGAGACGTTTTTTTTAGTTGACTTAATTATATATAATCATATTTTATACTTTAATATGAATAATTGTGTATTATTACAATATTTATAATAAACTATTTTAATTACTTTGATAAGCGAATACATTAAAAATAGTAAAAATATATATTAGTGCTGTCAAATGATTAATCGCAAAATAAAAGTTTTTGTTTACACAATATATGTGTGTGTACTATGTATATTTATTATGTATATATAAATACACACACAAGCATGTATATATTTAAGAAAAATTTTATATTTGTATATTAAATATTTATATATAATATATGCATGTAAATATAAAAAAAATATATACTGTATGTGTGTGTATTTTTATATATATATATATATATATATATACATAATAAATATACACAGTACACACACATATATCACATAAAAACATTTATTTTGGATGTGATTAATCGCGATTAATCGTTTGACAGCACTAATTTTAATATCTAATATGCTATTTATTATTCATTATTTTGATATATCTGATAATTGTTTTTAAATATTTAAAAGAGTGTGTGTGTGTGCGCGCATGCATGCATTTCATATTTCAATACATTGTAATAAATAGATAAATAAAAAAATTCCATTTAATATAATAATACATCATTTTTTACATAATTTAAGCAATATATGGAGCATATATTTTCTGTTCATATATATATATATTTTTTTTATATACAGTTAAATAGATAATTAAAATTTCTAATTAATAATTATATTATTATAATACATACAGTATGTAAAAAATATGTTATTACGTTTACACTACCAAAAAAAGCAGTGATATTTGTCTTAACAGTTTTCGACAGTATGCAGAGGACTGTCAGTTGTTCCTTTTGCCCTGGGCTGATGTGGGCATTGACGTGTTTGAGGACCGGCTTCAGGGTGCTGTCGTACCTCACGCTCAGATTCTGGATCTGAATCTCACCCCGCTGAGGCCAACCCTCAGGAACCTGAGACGCCGCTGAGAGAGAAACATTTAACCAAAGAGATAAGAGGCCTAAGTTATACAGAGACGGACAGAAACTGAGAAAACAGGAAATGAAGGAGACAGATGCTGAGCGCACAAGTCCAGTGAAAATGAGACTCAAAGTGAAGGACGAAGCAGCTAGTCAATACACGTGGCTCAGATATCCAGTGTGTCTTGATACTCACACAGCAGACCCTCGTAGTTTTCAGGTTCAGTCTTCAGCAGAGCTTTTATCTTCTTCACAGCTCCCAGCTGCACCTCCATGTCTGCCAGATTACGCACCATCCAGTTCAGATAGTTGGACACCTGAGAGATAAAATACACATAAGTTATCCAATATTACTGATGATCAGTTTGTAGAAAGTATATTTGGATTCTTACCATGAGGGCGTACGTGAGTCCCAGCCCCACCAGCCCCGTGGACGGATGATTGTACAGTGATTTTGTGATGGATGCCACAGCTGCTATTAGGACAATACAGGCCCCGATGTACTCCTGCAGGAGATACAACAGTATCACAATTAGGTAGCATTTGATCAAACGAACACCACATGGAGACTGGAACAAACAATAACAACACAATGACTTGTGTGGCTTATAAACGCACCATTCGGACCTCCAGCCAGCGATTGGCCGCTGTGAGGAAGAGAGAGGCCATGTTATTGGCATCTGTGAACTCTAGAAGTCTCTGTCTGAATCTAGGCTCATACCTAAGAAAGGAAAGTACCAGAAGAATCTGTTTAAATGGAAGGCATTTAGCAGATGCTTTTAACCAGAGTGACACCATCAACAGATGAATGTTGTTCTGTGCACCTGAACGCTCTGATGGTTGTGAGCCCCTCTACGGTCTCAGAGAAGTGTGAGAGGAGAGGAAGCTGTGTGCTGTCTTCCAGCTGCTGAAGATCTCTGCAAATACACACGCAGGTCACTTTAACGAGAGTGTGTGTGTGTGCGCGCATGCATGCATTTCATATTTCAATACATTGTAATAAATAGATAAATAAAAAAATTCCATTTAATATAATAATACATCATTTTTTACATAATTTAAGCAATATATGGAGCATATATTTTCTGTTCATATATATATATATATTTTTTATATACAGTTAAATAGATAATTAAAATTTCTAATTAATAATTATATTATTATAATACATACAGTATGTAAAAAATATGTTATTACGTTTACACTACCAAAAAAAGCAGTGATATTTGTCTTAACAGTTTTTGACCGTTTCCAGAGGACTGTCAGTTGTACCTTTTGTCCTGGGCTGATGTGGGCATTGACGTGTTTGAGGACCGGCTTCAGGGTGCTGTCGTACCTCACGCTCAGATTCTGGATCTGAATCTCACCCCGCTGAGGCCAACCCTCAGGAACCTGAGACGCCGCTGAGAGAGAAACATTCAACCAAAGAGACAAGCGGTGTAAGTTATACAGAGATGGACAGAAACTGAGAAAATAGGAAATGAAGGAGACATATGCTGAGTGTACAAGTCCAGTGAAAATGAGACTCGAAGTGAAGGGCGAAGTGGCTGTAGTCAGTAAACGTGGCTCGTATATCCAATGCGACATGATACTCACACAGCAGACCCTCGTAGTTTTCAGGTTCAGTCTTCAGCAGAGCTTTTATCTTCTTCACAGCTCCCAGCTGCACCTCCATGTCTGCCAGATTACGCACCATCCAGTTCAGATAGTTGGACACCTGAGAGATATAATATACAGAAGTTATCCAACATTACTGATGATCAACATGTGGAAATGTCAACAATTCTGTGTTTTTCTGTCCATATGGGGTGCTGTGTGTACATTAATGAGGAAAAAAAATTTACTTAAATGATTTTAGCAAATGGCTGCAATATAACAAAGAGTGAAAAATTTAAGGGGGTCTGAATACTTTCCGTACCCACTGTATGTATGTGTGTTCTTACCATGAGGGCATACGTGAGTCCCAGCCCCACCAGCCCCGTGGACAGATGATTGTACAGCGAGTTTGTGATGGACGCCACAGCTGCTATTAGGACAATACAGGCCCCAATGTACTCCTGCAGGTGATACAACAGTATCACAGTTACTGCTGAGCCTATTTTAGGCACCATTTGATCAAACGAAGAAGATATTTATTTTTAACATCACCGAAACTGGAACAAACAGCAACGACACAACGACTTGTGTGGCTTATAAACGCACCATTCGAACCTCCAGCCAGCGATTGGCCGCTGTGAGGAAGAGAGAGGCCATGTTATTGGCATCTGTGAACTCTAGAAGTCTCTGTCTGAATCTAGGCTCATACCTAAGAAAGGAAAGTACCAGAAGAATCTGTTTAAATGGAAGGCATTTAGCAGATGCTTTTAACCAGAGTGACACCATCAACAGATGAATGTTGTTCTGTGCACCTGAACGCTCTGATGGTTGTGAGCCCCTCTACTGACTCAGAGAAGTGTGAGAGCAGAGGAAGCTGTGTGCTGTCTTCCAGCTGCTGGAGATCTCTGCAAATACACACACAGGTCAGTTCAACTAAACATCTCAATGCTTAAAGGGATAGTTCACCCAAAAATGAAAATTCTGTCATTAATTACTCACCCTCATGTCGTTCCAAACCCGTTCGGAGCACAAATTAAGATATTTTTGTTGAAATCCAAGAGCTCTCTGACCCTCCACAGACAGCAACGCAACTGAAATGTTCAAGGCACGTTCAAGGCCCAGAAACGTAGTAAGGACATCATTAAAATAGTCCATATAACATCAGTGGTTCAACCGTAATTTATGAAGCTATGAGAATACTTTTTGTGCGCAAAGAAAACAACTAGGACTTCATTCAACAATTTCTTCTCTTTTGTGTCAGACACACATCTCTCTTTTCGTTTCACGACAGTGAACGCATGCGTTGCGCCTTGTTTTCGAGCAGAGGAATGCACACGCATGCATCGTGGTACTGTCGTGAATGAAAAGAGACGTGTGTCTGACTTGAGAGAGAAGAAATTGTTGAATAAAATCATTGTTGTTTTCTTTGCGCACAAAAGGTATTCTCGTAGCTTCATAACAATACGGTTTAACCCCTGATGTCACATGGACTATTTTAACGATGTCCTTACTACCTTTCTGGGCGTTGATCGTGGTAGTTCCCTTGCTGTCTATGGAGGGTCAGAAAGCTCTCGGATTTCGGAAAATATCTTAATTTGTGCTCCGAAGATCAGCAAAGGTCTTACAGGTTTGGAACAGCATGAGGGTGAGTAATTAATAACTAATGCTAATTAATGAATTAAGCCCTTTAAATAATAGGTCACCCAAATATGAATATTCTCTCATTTACTCACCCTCATGCCACTCATGCCAGATCTATATGACGTTCTCTCTTCAGACACGAATGAAGATTTTTAGAAACGTAATCCATCTTTGTGAGTCCGTACAAGTACATACAACCATCATGACAGTAATCCATACAACCCCAGGGGATGAATCAATATAAACTTGACTATAAAGCATGGCTTCCTGCCAACATGCATTCAAGAGAGGGTCAAGTTTACGCTTGAGAAGTTGTTGGATTGAAGCTCGCTCAAGAAGTGATGTTCCTCTTTGCTTCCACATCATTTCCCGCGTGAGCTTCACACGCTTTATACACACTTCACCACATGCTTACATCATACTTTACAAAGAACTGACATCAAGCATAAACTTGACCCTCTTATGAAACTTTTTAACTATAAATCGTTGTTTCCTGCTGTCGTACATGCGTTCAAGAGAGCGCCAAGCTCACATGACGTATTTCACTGTGCTTCCGCATCACTTCTCGCAAGAGTTTCACACTTGCACTTCACGGCATGCTTACATTTACGCAAAATGTAAACCCCAATTTTTTGTTGTATTGTAGTTTGTGCAAGAAGGGGTGCTTCTCTGTGCTTCCGCACAAGTTTTCAAATCAGATTCATAACATGCTTACACTTCACTATGCACTTACGGTTACGTCAAGTATGCAAATATGCTTACGTCATACTTCACAACATGCTAATGTTTGTCAAGCAAAAATTCGACTATTATGAATGAATGTACGACTGTTGGGCAGAAGTAATCGTTTTTTTTTTAAGAACTGACATCAAGCATAAACTTGACCCTCTTATGAAACTTTTTAACTATAAATCGTTGTTTCCTGCTGTCGTACATGCGTTCAAGAGAGCGCCAAGCTCACATGACGTATTTCACTGTGCTTCCGCATCACTTCTCGCAAGAGTTTCACACTTGCACTTCACGGCATGCTTACATTTACGCAAAATGTAAACCCCAATTTTTTGTTGTATTGTAGTTTGTGCAAGAAGGGGTGCTTCTCTGTGCTTCCGCACAAGTTTTCAAATCAGATTCATAACATGCTTACACTTCACTATGCACTTACGGTTACGTCAAGTGTAAACTCAAACACAGGTTTGCGCAAGAAGAGGGAGTTATTTGTGCATCACTTTAGCTTCACAACAACTTTACACATCACACTTTACAATATGCTTACGTCATACTTCACAACATGCTAATGTTTGTCAAGCAAAAATTCGACTATTGTGAATGAATGTACGACTGTTGGGCAGAAGTAATCGTTTTTTTTTAACTATAAACCATCGCTTCCATCCAACTGTTATACACGCATTTGTGGACCACCACTTTTCATGTAAACTTCACAACGCAACAACTTTTCTATTGAACACGTGTATGACAGTTGGACGGTTTATGGTTTAAAAAAAACATTATCATTCATATTTTTCTTATACACACCTGTCAGTTTGTTTCAGAAGACATTGATTCATCCACTATTGTCATATGGATTACTGTCATAATGGCTGTATGTGCTTTTTTTGACTGTCAACTTTTGGACTATTTAAGATGGATTTTTTTTTTTAAATCTCCATTTATATTCATATGAAGAAAGAAAGTCACATACAGCAGGGGCGGCATGAGGGTGAGTAAATAATCATAGAATTTCATTTTTGGGTGAACTACAGTATCCCTAGTATTGAGATTAAATTTTTCAAATCAATATTTTTCCTAGAATAAATAAATATGAAATCAAGACAAACAAATCTGGACAAAGCATTGCAACTGCAATAGAGAAATAAACAGTTTCATATAAAAGCCTCTGATAAATGAATCCCTGACTGGTTACTTTGATGCGACTCTGAAGTATTTCTGGATGAAGTAGCAGGCGATGGCCAGCGGTACGACTACGATGAGAAAAACCGGTGTGACGTATGAGATCACACCCAGAGCTGATACACACAGCAGCGTGGAGCGACTCAAACACTCCAGAGTGGCGGGAATGTGCTGAAACATAGAGAGACCGAAACATTCCTATGCAGTTATTTAAAAGCTATTGCTAAATGCTGTAAATGCCTAGTAAACCAAGGACAAAATATTGCCTCACACAGACGGATCGTAACATCATACCTGATCTATCGTATTGGTATCAGAAGAGAAGCGGTTTAATATGCTTGCTAAAGGAGTCGTTTCAAAGAACCTGGGAAAAGAAAGATGGGAAGAATTTAATCTTACATCAAATTTAGCCAAAAGCCACTTTTTTTTCATACAACAAAACTGTCTATATTCCTATATTCCAATGACAGCTTTGTATAAGCAACAGTCCAAAATTGTAAGGTCATTAACTATATTAGCATCTACACCGATGGACGATAATATTCTGTTTATAATAAGCGCACACTGCAGTTTTTTTCGCCTGCGACTTCAAATGGCCAATCTCTTTAAAGGCCATGGAAACAATTAGGAACAACAACCGCATTTAAATACAGGAGTGAATCCTTTAAATTAGCGATTCGTGTGCGTGTATGGAACATTGGCTTCTTCTACGTTTACATGACAGCGGTGTAGTCAAAAACTGAAACGTTTTTCCCTTGCATTTTTAAAAAGTTTCACGTATACACGACAACGTTTTCAAAATGATTTGCGTTTACACATATCCGTGAAAACTTCCAAAAACGCTGTATTACGTATGCCAAGCCAGTAGTTGGCGCTGTCACCTTGTTAGTAAACAGTACCTGTAGGGAAGTGACTATTATATGATGTATATGATGCGTCTCTGCTGTTGGTTGTAATATTGGTGAAGTAAATCCTCACTTTGCTGAAGAAGTGTTTTGAGCAACAACAACAGTACCATATACTCCGCCATTGTTGTGTATGTTTGTTCTTGCCTTTAAAATCGACATGTACTGCGCATGTCTACATACCTAACACATACTATGTACACGCATGACATCACCATTTTTAAAGATTCCCGTATTGGGTGTTTACACGGAAACGATAACGGTGCCGTTTTCAAAAACTTGCACTTTGAAACCCGTTTTCAAAAATATGCGTTTTCAGTCCCCAAACCGCCATTGTTGAGTAAACAAACAGTCAAAACTCGTAAAAAGTTTCCGTTTTTTGTCTAAAAACGTTGTTGTATAAACGGCCCATAAGCAGCACAATTTTCATCATCTGTCAAGCTGAGGTTTATTAGATAAACGTCCTCTCCTCTAACCCTGAACAACTGGAGTCTAGCCGTACTGTGTTATCTGAGCTGTCAGAGCACATGCTAACTCCAGGCTAAGCCCACCACAACATGCTCTTCCTCAGTGACAGCGGTGGTCTAAAAATAAAGTGAGAAGTCTGTTTCTGGTTCTTAACACCTTCTCTTGTCTTTTTCCAGTGTGCTATTCTCAGCATTTATGTGCATCATGGACATATAAAATGCCAGTAGGACATTACAAATTTGGCAAATTTATCATGGAGAATTTTAATAACACAAGCAGCCAATGAAATCATGCATCTAAGCTGTCCAAGGTTGAGGAACTGTGCCACTTCAGCAGGTGCAAACCATAAATTATGTCAATCTTAAACACTCTGAGCCTAAATCATTCAAGAGGGCATAGACTTTTCAAAGTAGAAATCAAGGCATGTGTCAGATGCTCACTTTTAAACAAATTTGACCAGAATATCACAGAGACTTGTAAACAACCACATAGAATTCTTCAGAAAGTGTAAAAATTTAGTTTACACGTAAGATCTGCTATCTTTACCTGCACTAGGGAGCAGTTGTGTGCAGCTGCATCAATTTTGGCTGTGATGACTTTGGACGTCCAGTGAGCGAGCCAGTAGTCGATGGCCACCAAAAGAGAATGTTTGAGGAGCTGGGACAGCAAGAGCAGGAGAAGCAGCAGGAGGCCTGCTGAGCTCAGGTACGTCCCACAGGATCTCCATGGGATGGTGGCTCTGTGCCTCATCACTTGAGACAGGTTATCTTCTTCATCGCTCTCCACAGACTGTTCTATATATAGCAAAGGATAGACAGATATTGAATTACGTAACATACAATGTGACAACTTGTCCCAGGTACAAAGATGAAGAAACAGACATACAGACAGATCATGTGACAACCAACGTATCCCTTTTGACATTCATATAAAATATCCTTGTCCACGGTATAAGCTTTTGAACAAGTGCAAACTTGAAGTGTATAGAGCACACTGCACTTGCTGCTCTAAATTTAAAAAGCAGTGTCATGCTGGCATTTAAAAAAACACACACAAGTGTAGGTGGATGTCAAAGAGGGGAGATATAGAAAGGAATAAACATGAGAAAAAAGGCTGCAATGCCCATAGGCATATAACACTTGGACCATGCCAGGAATACCCTTGAGTACTTACTAGCACAGCACATTAGCCATCATGAAGGGAAAAAATTTGCTACAACCCACTATGGTTTAAGAACTCAGCACAATCTCAATGCTGAGGAGACAGAACCATCCCCACATTCATGATTCATTCATTCCAGCATGGTCTGGACCGGCAGCAGGTGATAAATGCTCTTGCTCTCTCTCCCATGCTACAACTAAAATCAACCATGTTTAGTGAACAAATCAAAATAACACCTGGAAAAAAAACATCTGCTACTGTCAATGGCAGTTGAGGCTAACCAACCAAACCCTGAACCCTTGGATGTATCCAGAACATAGTAAAACACAGAGAACACAATGTGTGCAGTGACACTTCTGGAAGAGTTTCTGGTCACTTTTTCAAGCAAAGCATGGAGACTATTTTGTGAGTCACTGCAGTGAGAAGGCCAACCTTTCAATACACATTCAGGACTGGAGTATACTGAAATTTGTCCAACTGCCACATGAGTGGCGCTCAGCCTATATCTGCCATCTAGAGAATACTCAATTACTGTAAATCATTATTTCCCTCCAGCACACAGGAACTCTTCGATGCACTGAATCTAGTGGCACTAGCATTATCCTGCAGACTAATGCTTTACAGCAGGGGGGTCCAATCCTGCCCCTGGAGGGCCACTTTCCTAAAGAGTTTAGCTCCAGTTCACCTGCCTGCAAGCTTCTAATGATCATGAAAACCTTGAATAGCTGGTTCAAGAGTTTGCCTGCCCATTCAATCCTGCCAGATAATGGTAATCAAATTTGGCTTGATGTCCATGAAGGAGGCTCGAACCCGAGGCTCAGCTTGAGCTCAGGGTAAGAACCCCCCTATGATGGTACAGTGGGGAGGAAAAAGAGAGAAATTAGAGGAGAAGGGGAGTTGGAGGTTTCCGGAAGAATTGTCTCTAGAATGGAGCAATGACTGCTGCTTATATACCGTTGTAGCGATGATTGACAGGACTGGATGATTAGGCTCCTGCCAAACCTGCATTGGGAACTTCATTTCAAGTGTGCCTGATTAGGGTTGTAGTCAAGCTCTGCTGGATAACAGCCCTCCAGGATCAGGTCTGGACACCCCTGAATTACAGACTTTATATGCTGTCTTCAAATCCTCCCATGAAGTCCTACTTACAAATTATCAACTACAAACTTGCAAGTAATGTGCGTTTGGTGTATAATTGATGCTGTAAGGCAGGGGTGTCCAATGCGGCTCCTGGAGGGTGCGGAATTACAAATTAAAAAATCTGTTTAAGATCTGCTGATCCTACATCCTGACATAACATCACATGAAAACTAAGGTGAAGGACATTGTATTGGGTATTCAATGTGAACCTGATGGCAGCAGTTTAATGATTAGATTAACTAGGGTTTCCAGTGAAGGTTTCTGCAAGTCTCTGATTTTCTTACTTTGAGAGTGTGAATGTTTACATGGATTTAGTTCTCATGACCAGGTGCTGCTTAACTCCAGGGCCCAAAACACCCTCAGACCCCAGAGGGTTAAACCAGTTGGGGTACTGCTATCTTTAGGGACTAACGGCTCGTTTCCACTGAGCGGTAAGGTTCAGTACAGTACAGTACGCAATTATTTCCGTTTCCACTGTCAGAAGTTGTGAATGGTACCAAAATAGCGAACCGTACCACTTTTTTGGTACCCTTCCGTTGGGGTACCTAGCACAGCAGAGGGTACCAAAAGGGTGGAGCTAAAGTCACTGCAGAATGTTGATTGGTTGACTAGAATCATCACTTTTGCGTGATACAAGGGGATAAAGGGTCCTTCACTCGTTCCGCTGAGTTGTGCTTATTGTCGCGCTTTATAGTCGATCGCTACTTTCCGGCATACGCCACGCCTATCAAGAAGGGTACTATTGGCAGTGGAAACGCAAGCTGGATCAGGGTTACCCGTACCAAATCGTACTGTACTGAACTGTACTGTACCGTACCGCTCAGTGGAAATGAGCCATAGGTTTGCTGGAGATTGCAGTGGGGGGTTATTTCCTGTATTGTCTTTTGATGTTTTCGGTAAGTGGTCACTTCTGAGGCTGTGTGTAAGATCGCCACATTTAAGGACTGACCACTGAATGCCTATAAAATACAATGTATGCCTGCCTTAGTCTGCAGGTCCACACAGGACTTTGTCAAAAAAGAACCAACCTAAAGATACACCAAGAGTCTCCTTGTCTTTGCTTCTGGGTTTCCTACAAGGGCCAGTGGCCTGTAGAGTTTAGCTCCAACCTGCTCAAACAACCTGGCTGAAAGTTTCTAACAGAGGTTCTGAAGACCTTGATTAGTTCAGGTGTGTTTAATTAGTGTTGGAGCTAAACTCTGCAGGACAGCGGCCCTCCAGGATTAGAATTGGACCCCCCTGTAGTAAGGAGTTGCTTCGGGGAAGGTGAACATCAAGAAAGCAGCAAGAGCAAAAGTGTCCTGTTACTAAACTTGTTCAAGTTGTAAAATGTTCACAAATTATGCATAACACAACAAAAACAAAGCTTAATCAACTATGGCCATATTCTCTATACTGGGGCAGCCAACCCTTTCAAAAAGTTTAGCTCCATCCCTAATCAAAAACACCTAAACTAGCTAATCACTGTCTGCAGGAAGGAAGCCCTCCAGAGTCAGAGCTGTCTAGCTTTGCTCTATACCAATTGCAATTTCCTCATTGCAGGAAGAGACCTCTGGGTGATGCAAATATGTTGCCCTGTTCCACTCGGAAGGATCGTATTTCTTAATTACAGATTCATTACAATGCTCAGTCTAGGCTTGCCACCAAGACCAGGGACCTCAGCCATCTGTCAGTGCATCCTGAGCTTCCTGACAGGTGGTGAGAGTGGGCATCCAAACATTTTGGCATCAGGACTTGCAGAGGGTGTTGCAATGAGATAATTGGCTTTTATTCAATGCTGCAGTCAGCAAAAAAAAAAAAAAAATGCTAAAAGGAACAAGAAGTATTACTACTCTCCTGTCACACAGATCTTTAATGAAGATTTATGAGGATTCCTACCAGGTGCTTGCATAGTTAATGCAACAACCCATTGTTTTTAATTGCAAGGAGCTTGCAGGAAAAATCCGTTATTGTATCAGATGGGCATGTAATACAAACTCTGCTAAAAAGTTCATATTAGTGTTTTGCCGCATGTTTATCTACTCTTACCTTCCTCTTCCTCCTCAGTCTTTAAAGCCTCTCTGGAGTACATGGCTCGCCTCAAGTTTTTTCTTTCCAGCACCGTCATATTCTCATCTACTGTCTCCTGGAACACAAAATAATGGAGAACAGGGTATTCTGTTTAGCATATTTGGCTAGTTAAGTAGCATAAATCAAATGTCAATTTCATTCTTTACATGATTTGTTTCCAATTCTTTGCCTGAGTATTTGGGTTTCTGAAAAGATCCACTGAATAATAGTGGCCTGAGATGGCCTGTTCTGCAAGAACATCCTTACATCCTCCTACACATGTTGAAAGATCTGAGCCTATAATGAAGGAGCCTATAAAGAACATCTGCAGGTAGTTTTGTAAGATATTCCATGTAGAAGATGAACAGGAAGGGGCCCAACACAGTTCCTTGAGGTACGTCCTGATGCTTAATGTATTTTTTAACACAAAAGGACAGTTCAATGAACTGATTGGAGGCTGTGTTGGCCACTAGATGGCATATTAGACACTTTTTTGGAGACTTGAGTTTATTACAGCCCCTGTCCTGTCTTTTTGATGTCCAAGCTTATATTTTGTTAGCATAAACATAGAGATTACTTTTCCAATCTCTCAAACAATGCAAATGAATGTCAACAAAAAGGTCAACTGAATTTGGCATTACAAAGCAAAACTAATGAACTAGCCCTTTAAATCACTTCCTCTACTATCTCATTAACTTTCTGCAGACTACCTTCTCAAATTCTTTGTCTTGTCTGTGCATCAGAGTCTTCCACTGCTCGAAGAGCTCAGGCTGAGAATTTTGGATGTCCTTTAACGTCCCTTCTGTCTGTATGCTGCCATCCTTCATTGCAATGATCTACAAAAGAAACAACATTGAATTATTACTTCATTTGTCACATATAAGATGGTGGATATTTTTAATGCCCCATGAGAAGTAAAGCAAATATTTAACAGCAAACCTGACCCTTTCAATCTGTCAGCTTAAAGTGACTATGTCTAAACAACAGGGAGTTAAAAAAACTCTTGTCTGACCACTGGTGATTTATTTAGTACCAGAAGGAGGAAGACTTTAACAAGGCAATTCATCACCCAGAGCCAGTTTGAGAGAGACTGGGGCTGTATTTATTTCTTATAACAAGGCTGATGATAACAACAAATCAACTTGAGAATTACAATTTCATGAAAATGTTTTCTCTGGTTGGATATGTTTGGTCAAAGCATTTGGAACTATGCATATTTACTTTTTAATTAACTAAAGAAATGTTTGCAATCAAACTATATCTAGGAAACAAACATATCAAAACTTTTCCAGTAAACATACCTAAACCACCTTAAAACAAAACAGATTTACGGTGTACGATCTCAAGATGTTTTCAGGGAACATATCTTAAGGTAAGGAAAATAATTATAGGATAATTATAGGAGATTCTCACATTCTCATACATCTCATCCACTTCTAATGTAACTTCTAAGTTAATTTATCATTTTATTTTAAATAAAGTAATATCCTAAGTTAATTAAAAATGAATCACAATTGACCACACCTATGACATGTTGATTAGCACAAAGTATTCCAAAAATTAAGATGTGTGTGTGTGTTTGTGGTAATCAACATATGCCACAAATGCTGTCAATTCAGCTTAACTTGTACTGAACCTGCAATATTCTTTTAAAAGTAAAATCTCTGCAAGTAAAAGTAAAATAGTGCTTCCATTCTGGAAGAGAGAAATTGAAAGTAACATATGTAATTACTTTTATTAGAAGCAATGCAAAAATGTAATGTCTCACTTTTTTAAAAGTAGTGTTTCCTGCTACTGAGCTTAAAATGTAGGAGTTTGGTGCATTGTAAGAAGTGTTTCCTGAGAGACATGTCTGAGTACAGCATTTGTGCCTATTACATCTTATAAGGTATCTGAATGTGGAACATTTCTTGTTGGTGAAAAACAAAATCAGGTTAGGAAAGAAGAGAATGATTTGCTTATTCTAAACCTGCAGTGGCCTTATTTTGGTTGAACGGCTTTGGTTTGGTTGGCAGTTTGATTTCTCTTATTGCAAACAGTGGCCAAATGGGAATTTAATTAGATTTTTCTGTAGACCAGATGGTCTATTTTACGCAATGTGATCTATAATGAATTGTGTTAGTAGGATTTGCAGGTGAAAACATGACAGAAACCAAATGAATTCATCCTTTACAACAGGCTTGTATTGGGCTATAAATAAAACGCATTCTTACAGAAATAATTTCAGGAATAATAACTTTGTGAGATTTGACTTTTAAATTAGGCTTTTACATCTCAGAGCTCACCTTTTGCTTTTTCTCTTTCCGATACAACAGAGTAGGCCTAAGCGATAAAACGGTATCGATATTTATCGACGGTACACCTTCTTCGATAATGATAGAAAAAATGTTCGATATAGCGCACGATATAGGCACGTGCTATGAGTGACGCAGACAGCACACACAAACACGAACACATGCTGAATTGAGTGCTGTGCCTGCCTGTGATGAGGAGATTGTGAATAAAAATGAATATTAGTCAAATTTTAAATAAAAATGTGCATTTAAATGTTAGGAGTGCATCAGGGAGCGTCATTAGTGGTGCGCGAGATGTGGTGATGATGATGTAAGCAAAAGTTCTTTGATGTAAGTGACGTTTCATTTGAATGTTTTGTTAGTCTAGCCCACGAGATGTGCCGCTGCTGCGTTATTCATTCAAAATATTAGAGAAATATAGAAGCTCCAATGCGGAGAAGGTCTTGATTAGGTTAAAACCGAAACCAAGCCATTCACACAGAATGCATATTCAGCGCATTTTCTAGACGGACAAATATGACTGCTGCACTCGCGTCTCACACAAGAGATGTATAGAAAGCCATGCAAAGTTTAAACTTTTAGAAAACACGTCACAAATTTGTGGAGGTTTATTCCTTTTCGCTGCATCTCATGTTTTTAAATGCAATCTGCGTGAACGGCGCTTCGGCTCTTTGGATTAAGCAGTGCATAAATACATGATGCTGTTTTGTTCATAATTGTTTATGCAATTTACAAAATTATATTTGACTTTTATGAGTTAATTTAGACGTAATGCACGTTTTTGTATAGACAGATATTTCCTTGTGTTGACAATTTAAATGTGCTGCATTATTTTGCTCATTGCACCCTTCTGTGGCCTCGGGATGTCAAAAGTTTCCTTAAGACCTATTTAATCTGCATGTAAAACATTAGAAATTATTTTGTGTATGATTGTTAAACAAAAAATATTTGTTGTTTGTCTCAATAAATTGGGTTAATTTAAAAATACAGTGGTTAAATAAAAAAAAAATTCTATTGCTCTTTGTTTAAAAAAAGGTTATAAAAAATGTAAATAATTATCTATACCGAAAGATATGAAACATTATATCGTTGATAATTTTTTTAGCTATATCGCCCAGCCCTACAACAGAGAAGAGTCAAAATTCCAAGTCTGCTCTTCTACCTAATCCTGATATAGCCATCAAAATTCTGACCAACTGGTTTAAATCACTTTCTATAGGGAAAGAACTTTAAATAAGTGTATTTGCATATGAAGTACCCAATCTGCATGTGGGAGATACTGTAGTTTGTGTGTCACGAGCACCACCGTCCTCTTCTCCTCCCTCAGTAGTTTAAGAATGCCCTCCTGCATCAGGTGATCACTCAGGTGAATGTCCAGCGCTGAGAACGGATCATCCTACGATAAAAGAAAAAATTTATTGACATCTCACTTCACTGATTTGCATGTATAGCTATATCTGGACCTACCAGGAACACCACATTGGTGGCTTGATAAAGAGCTCGAGCGACACCGATTCGTTGCCTCTGGCCTCCGGAAAGAATAATGCCCTGGAAAGAGCAAAGAATAGGAAGAGGAAAGTTACCAACAAGTCTGTATTGATAAAACACCTCATTAGGAAGGGGGCAGGGGGTAGAAGTTGTTAGGGTAACCGTACCGCGCACACTTGGCATGTGTACTGATCATGTTGACTGAACTCTTTAAATGAGCTGGAAGACTGCTTTTAGGAACAACCTAAAAGCCATTTACGACATCAGGCTGCCTTAAATGTAACCTGAACTAAATAGCTGAGAGTAAACAAGAGACGGTGCCATTTTAATGGCTGCCTGGATACTAAAACATGAGGAATATGTTATGTATGTTTATCAGTGGAATTCAATATGACCCATCATAACTGAAACTCTACCATTTGCAGTACTAAAGCCATTCCAGATGGCTGGTAATGAAATGCGTCACCCAAGTCACATGGGCGACACACTGACCCGCTCTCCGATCTCCGTCTGGTCCCCCTGGGGCAGGATTTCAATGTCCGGCTGGAGAGAACATGCTTCAATTACCGCTCTGTACCTGGAAACAACAAAAGATATGAGACTGAAGCACAGCACGTAATACTATGTGTTAATCTAGCTTTAGTACTTTTTGAAATATTGATGTTGAAATAAAATTAGTGGTTAATAATGAATGACTGATTCTCTGCATGGACTCTGTCAAAAATGAATCTTTGTTCAAGTGTTATGAGCCATGAACCAAGCCAAGTGGGTACGAGGTGAATCATAACATTACAAACTTTGATTTGCAGCAAAAAAGTATTTGAAAATCAGACAAAAATGCAAGTGTACAAGACTGTGTACATCATAGCTTTGCTGAGGGAAATAACTACAATCCCATGCACCTTTGCTAATGACATTAATCAAATTAATATTGACAGATAAATATAAAACTAGTCATTTTAAATATATAAGTATACATATATTACACACACATACACAAGTTGGTGGAACTAAAAAGCGCTTTTAGCGCATATTGCTTGTTGCGACTATTATTTGCGGTATTTTCTTTACGCAAAATTATTTCTAAACACAATTATTGAAAGATTAAGTTGAACTGATGCGGCTGACAGCTTCAATAGAAGCAAATACCATTGATTAACAACCTCAGAGCTGAGATTCTCAGAGTCAAAGAGTGGCAAACAGTCATGAAAACATAAATTAGCAAAATAAACTTTGCCCAAAGGTGCAGTAACACTAGCCATTGCTTGGCGAAATCCAGTCATTTCAATAGGAATCTGTGTGATTTGGAATTTCACATTTCCCCACGCCGATTTTGCATGTTTTTCACACAAATTTGCGGCATTGACGAACAGAAAGGTTTTAAAGTGACTTCCATGTAATCTGTGCTTCATATATTTTTACACTACTGACAGCAGACAATGGACTTTTTCGCCAAAGAATTGTGCTACTGTGAGAGCGTCTTAAAATTACAAGTGGGCTGTAAGCAAATAAATAGATCAATGTACTTTGAGTACAGACACTGCTGACACGTATAAGCCGCTGAGGCAGCTGTAAAACACAGATTATGAGAAGCGGCGACTCACAGAGAGAGACACTTACTTGAAGGCCAAATCTGTCTAATGACTGTCACTGAAGTTTAAAGAGGCGATAATGACTGAATGTCAGATGGGAATAGAGAACGCTTTTGTATTGACAAATGGACACTAAAAAGAAGAATAAACACTTGACTTTTGTACATCACTAGGGCAACTGGATGCTAGACACAGGTTAATGCATACAGAAGACCCATTAGACAGAAACATTGGACCTAGATGCCATATGGTGGCTTTTTTTTAAGATAAATGTGTGGGCAACAAATCCATGGAGTAAATGAAGGTCAGTTACCTTTGCTTTATTAAAGGCATCTCAAAAGTGATGTTCTCCGCTAGAGTGGTGTTTAGGAGCCAGGGCTTCTGGGAAGCATATGCCACAGCACCTCTTTTCCTGTCAGAGGGGTTGCCATAACATCAGTGACCTCCTTCACAACACCAATGTTGCTCTTAAATATAAAAGAAAGGCTTGTTCAAGGCTGACCTACTCTAAAAATCATTATTCACAGGAACAGTACACAAAAAAAATGATAATTATGTCACCATTTGCTGAACCTGAATGTTGTTGTTGTTAACTCGTGATGTTTAGATTTCAAGTCAACTTCGACTTGTGCCATATTTTTATTTGAGAGCTACAATGGAGGGGAATTTTTTTAGTAAATAGCATCTTAAGTTTTTCTTACAGAAAGCTGAAATATATGCACGAGTCATCACTTTTATGTGTTTTTCCCTAATTGGAGCAGATGTGGTCATTATGAACTGTTGTTTTTTGTGGTGATTACAGTGTTATTTGAGTATCATTTATATACTATTATAGCATTATAAAAATAAAAAAAATGAATTAGCTTTACTTTTATATTTTAATTTTAGTTTAAGGAATTTTGTCATGTTGTCTATTGTTATGAACTGTTGTTACATATGCATAAATAAGTCAAACGTGATCTTATAGTCAATATAGAGCAATACTATGCAGTCTGTTGACCAATAATATTTCTTTGTGGGCAGGGCTACACAATAGAACGGCAAAATCACAGTTAGTTAGGATAAAACTATATACGAATACGATAGTAATAGTGTAAAGCATGCTGGTAAGCAAAAATTAGCCAATCAAAATGAATATCATTTACATAAAGTCTTAAAGCCACAGTAGTCAGAGACGATATTATTATTATAATTTTGTCTTTTTTTACATTTATTTTAACACTTATTTTAATTTTGCTTTAATTGAATTTCAGTATTAATTTTAGTTAATGATAAATACCAAATTGTATATTTGGCATATCAGATTTAAAAAAAATTATTTTGTGATTAAGGCTGTGTTTGGAAAAGCATGCTATCATATTAACACAAACTTTGTCAAACTGTGCAGTATTTAACAGAATACACTGTATGCAATGTTGTATCCCACAATGCAATGTGCTCAACCTTCTATTTCAGGTGTGACAAACCAAGTATCAACTATATTTTTCTTTCTTTATTTGATTGGCTTATCAAAATTACGCTTTTACACAAAACTTAAATGAATGTTTAGTTCTGACATGATAAAAACCCAGCAGCTTTTCAACGTTTAGTCACGCGTCAATCATGAATCAGAGTTCAATTTTGTTTCTATTTGAATCAACATTGATATTGTTTCACATTTTTACATTGTCTTATTACATTTTTAACTTTTAAGTAGTATGTCTTTTTACAATTATTTAGCAGGAAACTTTTTGAATCAGTGTCATGAATCAAAGTTTAAAGAATCTATTTTTTTTAATAGAAATAACATTGATATTGCAATATTGTTTCAATGTCTTTTACAATGCAATGTTAACATTTTAACATTGATTTGTTAGTAGTGTTTATCTTTTCAGCAGTAAACGTTGTTTCAACATTTTTTAGCATTTTTATGTTTATTCATAGGTGAATCAACATCATGAATCAAGGTTCAATCAATGTTGATTTTTGTTTCTGATTTTTCAAATAAAATCAATGCTGATATGCAACAGTTTCAACGTCTTTTACAACATCTTGTGAAAATGTCATTGTTGATTTTTATTGATATTGATACGTATTTTGCTAACCTTTTCTACAACCATTAAGCAGCAAATATCGTTTCAGCAATTTTTTATGATTCAATGTTTACTCACAGGTGAATCAACATCAAGAATCAAGGTTCAATGACTGTTGAATCAACAGCGATATCACTATGTGTTTTACAACGTCTAGTTAAAATGTCAATGTTGATTTATTTATTTTGTTATCTTTTTTTTTTTTCAACATACAGATAAAACTGACATTCTTCAACCACATTTCATTCATGAAGGTCAATCTCACGCCAGCTAGTGAATGTCACTTGCTCACTTAAATTTATGTCTAAGGTCATGTGACCCCAGATAGCACACGTACGTCTGCAAGATGTATGTTAAAGATCACTTGATCTGGAAAGCATCTGCTGTGTACAAACATCAGATAGACGTCCGTTTTACATACATTCTAAATCATAAACATCTTAAAGCCGTTTTCTAAACATCTATTTGATATCTGATATGAAATGTCTTATGGATGTATTGCAGATGAGCAAACACTAAAAAAATATGTCTTGCAGATGTAAATGCAGATGTCAAATAGATGTCTCCATGATGTGCGTGTGCTGTCAGGGACAGTTTAAAATGCTTCCTATTGCATAATGCATACGGTTTCACATACATATTTAAACAGCAAACATATATTGAGTGTATGCTGCGCAGTATTCAGTATGCATCCTGCTAGTATTCCATTCTAAACAATACCATTTTCTATTTGAGCTGTGAGAAGAATGGATTGTGATGCTTGTCGAGGTTTACTGGAAAAATTCCAATCACATAAAAAACATGCTCTAGTACGGAAATTACACTATTTCTAGATAACAGGCAGCATTTTTTGAAGTATCCAAATAGCCTTTTGAATGAAACAGCAGATGGCTTTTTGAAATGTCCGGTAATAACACACCTTGGCTTTGTAATGTATGACATAGAGATTGCCGCCAACAGTAATAAGAGACTTCTATTCTTGGCTGCCATTCCAGCTCAAGTGCCAAGAACAGGACAGACACCTGCACACACTCACACACTCACACATTGAGAAAGCGCGTGCTGTTTTATTGATGACCGAGGGGACGGTAGTACATTTCATCACCAGCACCAACTGTCACTTAGATAGTAAAACGCTTTTTAATAGTCCTCCAAAGAGCTAATACCTGAGCTGTTCCCTACAGAGTTTATGTATTTAACAGACAAAACAAATGAGTTCACCCATTACAGCAGATAAGAAAGCCATTGAAATTGCAGCTGTCTCTGTTAGAGCCATGGTTTAGTGGCTAGTGTAAATGCTAGCGTGTTGTGCAAATACAAAGCAATACAAATCCAGTTGGTGTCGTTTTGGTGTCTGGTTTTCTCATCATTTCCTGTCCTCTTTCCACTTGCCATATAATCAAGTGGCCAAAGCAACAATTTCTCAAAACCTAGCAGCCACAATTTTTTAGCAGTCTGACTAGCCACAATTTCTGCATTGCAGAATGCAGCAATATATTTATTTTTAACAATTTGAGACAAGCTTTGTCTCGGCATGCCCAGTGTTGGGGACAGTTACTTTTAAAAGTTTTTGCATTATTTAACATATTTAATTATTGCAGGTTTCGAAGGTTGCATTTCACTGTTTTCATTCATTTGGAGGAATACTGAATCAGTTTTTGTGCAGGTGAGATGAGTGAATGCATGTTCACATTCAGTCTAGAACTACAGTAAGATCATGTTCACACAGCGCACACAATGCCTCTGCACTTACTCCCGATTTCTCTCAACATGACAACACGAGAGCTGTTAGTCAATAAATGGCGTTACTTATTTGAAACAGTAACTCAGTTTCTTGTAAATTAAAAAGTAACGTTACTTTACTAGTTACTTGGAAAAAAGATGACAGGACACGTCCACAAACACGTCCACAGTAATTAACAGACTCTGCAGGACGCGCTAAATGTTTGTGTTTTGCAGCTTTGTATGACAAAAGAACCAACCTTTCATTTCCTTCATCATCCAGAGTGGGCAGTCTGCAAAAGAACACACAGAAAATGCAACTCAACAAGGAGGAGAAATTAACATGACAAAGATATTTATGTGCATAGATTCAGATAAACTGTGCTGAGAAAAAAAATAATTTGAAACAGAGCTAAAAATCTGTAATACATACACTGAATTATTTATTGTATTTAATTGCAATTTCTAAGAGATTCCAGTCAAGGATAAGCATGCTGCTGTAATATTGCAAGTATTCTGAAAGCAAGATACATACAATGGCGTTCAAAATAAATCCATAAAGGGCCACTACTAGAACTGAAATTAGCTCCGAGGCTAAACAAAACTAAATTGTCCTTGAAAAGTTGAAAAATTTAAGGGGGTCTGAATACTTTCCGTACCCACTGTAAATAAGAGCTTTTCTGCTGCCTGAAGGCATTAGCTGCAGTCGAAGCTCTTAAGCTCTGTCCTTTCAAACCTGGAAAAAGAAGAACCAGAAAATACTGCAGCACATCTACAGCCATTAGATAATTATTATAAAATATTTAGCCATTATAAAATATTTATTCAGTGTTATTCAATGATGGCTTTGTAGTTAAGCTAGGAATCAACATGACAATTTAAGAGAGGCTGTTTTGGAGATGTTAAGTCTTACTGCAACATGTTTAGCCTTAACCAGTTTCCATTTTTGACCTTCATTACCTCTTCTTAGTGATTGTTTTAATGGGAATGTACTGTGAACTGTCAATCCACATGAGGGAGAACCGTAGAAAGCAGATGACGCATGCGGTTCCAGGAAGGTGATTTTTAGACACCATACTGAGATGTAATTAACCACTGTGTGCCATTATAAAATGACTGACATTATTAAAACTGTGACATATAATTTGTAGAGAGGTGCTAAGCTTGACAATATGTCATATATATATATATATATATATATATATGTGTGTGTGTCTGTAATTATTATATTTAACCCTCTGGGGTCTGAGGGGGTTTTGGGGCCCTGCAGAACTTCAATAAAATTGTAAATACAATTAAAATTTAAATATTAATAATAATTTAAATATTGCATTTAAATATATTTAATTTATATTTAAATTTTACATTAAATATAAAACATATTACAACTTAACCAATATATGAAATACTGTTTTAATATTACTTTTAATAATTATTCAATTATATTTTATTATTACCAAGAACTGCTTAAAACCTAACCTTTTTTGTTGATTTTGATTGCTTCTATTGTCATCATTTGTACGTCGCTTTGTATAAAAGCGTCTGCTAAATGACTACATGTAAACGTAAATGTAAACATTTGTGATGTTGCAAAGTAGTAAATGTTTACAGAAAGAACAACAACAAAATATTTATTTATTTGCTCATTTATTTACTACTTCTAAAATAGTGACCGCTAACTTCGCTAATATTACTTTTAATAATTATTCAATTATATTTTATTATTACCAAGAACTGCTTAAAACCTAACCTTTTTTGTTAATTTTGATTGCTTCTATTGTCATCATTTGTACGTCGCTTTGTATAAAAGCGTCTGCTAAATGACTACATGTAAACGTAAATGTAAACATTTGTGATGTTGCAAAGTAGTAAATGTTTACAGAAACAACAACAACAAAATATTTATTTATTTGCTCATTTATTTACTACTTCTAAAATAGTGACCGCTAACTTTGCTATGTTGAATTGTAGATTTTTGTTTAGGACATGAAATGTTGACATTTCAAGCTGTTAAAGTCATTTATCTGGGCAGATAAACAGTTGTATGATAAATGATTGAGAAAAGAAACGTTGATACTCTCACCACCTTGTTTTTAACAAACTTAAAGAATACAGAAAATTCTTAACCCATGCATTTTGGCAGTTATTTACAAAACATTATTAGCATGTTACATAAACTGTGTATGATTCCTTAAAATAACAACTATCAGAGATCAAAGACTATTTAGCTTATCTATTACTTACTACAAATATCTTATTTACGCTGTTTTGGGCATGACATGTTGAGATCAGAAGCTGTGAGAGTCATTCTGACTACATGTAAACGTAAATGTAAACATTTGTGATGTTGCAAAGTAGTAAATGTTTACAGAAAGAACAACAACAAAATATTTATTTATTTGCTCATTTATTTACTACTTCTAAAATAGTGACCGCTAACTTCGCTATGTTGAATTGTAGATTTTTGTTTAGGACATGAAATGTTGACATTTCAAGCTGTTAAAGTCATTTATCTGGGCAGATAAACAGTTGTATGATAAATGATTGAGAAAAGAAACGTTGATACTCTCACCACCTTGTTTTTAACAAACTTAAAGAATACAGAAAATTCTTAACCCATGCATTTTGGCAGTTATTTACAACACATTATTAGCATGTTACATAAACTGTGTATGATTCCTTAAAATAAATCAAAATATCAGACAAAAATAAACAGAAACAGTAATTGTTTACAAGCAACAACTATCAGAGATCAAAGACTATTTAGCTTATCTATTACTTACTACAAATATCTTATTTACGCTGTTTTGGGCATGACATGTTGAGATCAGAAGCCGTGAGAGTCATTCATGTGGGCATTTCTCTGATAAATGATTCAGATAAAAGAGAGGTTTTCTTGCCACGGCGCCTGAGATACAGTACTCTCTGATCATCAGCCAGAAGCGTCGTATCCAACATGAACAATCACACGTAAAAACCATTTCCTTTCCAATTAGACAACACCCAGTTAATACAGTAAATTTTGGTACTGGTAGTATAAACATTTGCTTTTAGGAGACCCACATTTAGCCTGCTTGAAAGCCAGATGACTGTTCAAGGAGATATTTTGTGCTGTAAGGCTTTGTAGTCTATTTTTAGACATAACATATATTTTGGTTAACCCTCAGCTTACTGGGCACACATAACATGCAAGCTGTTTGAATACTGGATGGTTCTCATAGAGAGAATGTGCTCATGGTGAGAAGATAAGTGCTCAAATAACTCATGGATAATTCATCTTACGTCATTCTGTAGGATTCAGGTGTCCTTCGTATTTAAACACATAAGCAATTGCTTGGCCTATGCATTGTGGTTGTAGTAACAAACTTCAATACTCAAGAGGTGCTAGAGCTGCTTTAAAATGTCTGTGCATTAAACTAGATACATCATTATTCAAGTTTAACTCATTTAAAGTGCATTTACTATTTGAAACTGTAAAGCTGCTTTGACACAATCTCTATTGTATAAAGCGCTATATAAATAAAGGTGACTTGCCTTGATTTGTTTCGGGTCTGAGACGGTAATTCGATTCAGGCGGTTTAAAAGGGTAACCTTTTAATTTCAATGACTGCTTCCAAATCATGCTTCTATACAGAGGAGACCCACATTTAGCCTGCTTGAAAGCCAGATGACTGTTCAAGGAGATATTTTGTGCTGTAAGGCTTTGTAGTCTATTTTTAGACATAACATATATTTTGCTTAACCCTCAGCTTACTGGGCACACATAACATGCAAGCTATTTGAATACTGGAGATGGTTCTCATAGAGAGAATGTGCTCATGGTGAGAAGATAAGTGCTCAAATAACTCATAGATAATTCATTTTATGTCATTCTGTGGGATTCAGGTGTCCTTCGGGGTCAGATACTTTAAGCATGTATTTTAATCCTATGCATTGTGGTTGTAGTAACAAATGTTATGAACATCTCCTTTATATTTTAATCTAAAGCACTTTAAGTGGATCTGCATTGTCTGTCTAATCCCATTGTTATCATAAGTGGCCCCCTTTGATTTGGGCTCATTTGGTTGGTTGTTGCCAGGATGGACTGGCATTTGAACAAACGCCCTTCTGTATTGTGCTTGACCCTGGACGCGTCTCTTAAAAGCGTGTGCGAACATCAAAACACAAGCCCCAAATCAACACTGTAATCACTAATAGCCTGTATGAGAGCATGAACTGATGAACAGGTGACTAATTTGTGAAAAGGACTTGATATGATGGTGGATGGGAACATCACAGCCTCTGTTTGACCCCTGAAGCTCAGATGAGTGTGACGTATAGAGGGTGAGGGAAGGGTTTCTAGTGCTCATCAACAGAGGCAACAGTGTATTCCTGAAATGGCCCTGTTGCCCTTTATCTGCTGACATTTGAGCCATTATGGGATGCACTGGCACATATTGCAGTGATCTTTTTAAAGGTGATCTGTTACTGTTCCATTTCGACCACATTGGTGAAATGTGCAGTCTTTCTGCAGCTTATTTTCAATAAATGCTCATTTTCTCTGGCCTAGTGATGAAGTTTTGTGCTCTGAAAGAGCTTGTTTTCATAGGACATTGAACACTGTCAAAATAAAGGAAATCTGATTCCTCATTATGACTCCAATAAATCCTGTTTTCTGACCCTGGACGCGTCTCTTAAAAGCGTGTGCGAACATCAAAACACAAGCCCCAAATCAACACTGTAATCACTAATAGCCTGTATGAGAGCATGAACTGATGAACAGGTGACTAATTTGTGAAAAGGACTTGATATGATGGTGGATGGGAACATCACAGCCTCTGTTTGACCCCTGAAGCTCAGATGAGTGTGACGTATAGAGGGTGAGGGAAGGGTTTCTAGTGCTCATCAACAGAGGCAACAGTGTATTCCTGAAATGGCCCTGTTGCCCTTTATCTGCTGACATTTGAGCCATTATGGGATGCACTGGCACATTATGACCTTTTTATTGCAGTGATCTTTTTAAAGGTGATCTGTTACTGTTCCATTTCGACCACATTGGTGAAATGTGCAGTCTTTCTGCAGCTTATTTTCAATAAATGCTCATTTTCTCTGGCCTAGTGAGGAAGTTTTGAGCTCTGAAAGAGCTTGTTTTCATAGGACATTGAACACTGTCAAAATAAAGGAAATCTGATTCCTCATTATGACTCCAATAAATCCTGTTTCGAAAATTCTTCTGGTTTTCCCCCAAAATCAATGTTGATTCTTTCTGGGTAAACCAATGGCTCACAAAATTGGGAATCAATACCAGTGGCAGTCCAATTACTCCTTTATAGGGTCCTGCTGTGTTTTCCACAAGCCTGAAACTGAACAACCACATTACTTCAGATATTCTTTGAAACATTAAGAGAAGCTGGTAACACAATAATCAACTTTATATTACCTAGAGACTGAACATAATAGAGCCCCACTTTACTGATCCTTATGAATTTTTTCTTTATATAATAGTGACTCTGAAAATTACCAATCCCCAAAACATCCACAGTATCATTAAAGCAATTTCAAGCTCCTTATGAAAGGCATTACTCGTTACAATGTATTTTCTGCACACAGTGCTCTTATTCAGAGAGCTCTCATGGACAAATGGGATTCAGTCCTGTCAACACAGCAATCACTTCAACCAGGGCTGGGTATGAAATTAGGGTGACAACTTCTGCCATCGATTAGAGCTTTTCAATTAACAGCAAATTCACATCTTTCATCCTTTCCACCAAAACTCTGTGTTCAATGGGGAAAGACAGGCGAGGAGGAAATAAACATTTGAAGAGTGATAATTATCTTGACACATGCTGTCATTCAGCGCTTCAATGGGATGTGGACGCACGTATAATTCTGTCGTGCAACACAACATTTATTTGCGTTCAGCCCTTTTTCTCAACCAAAATTGTTCCCAAATTTTTCCAAATTTTTTTGAATTGTCAGCACAGAATTTAACGCTACAGTTAAAAAAAAAGATTTTGTCGACACTTGCAAATTTTAGTGATAATTAGCATTTCCATCAGCTACACCGGTAAACATTTTGATGTGCTGAACTAGAAAAATGGGAATTTGTCTATGGTTTATGGAAGCCTACTTCCGCCACTGAATACAAAATAAAACAAGGTTGCGACTTTTTATCTCACAATTCTTTTTTCCCCTCGCAATTGACTTTTTTCTCAGAATTGAGAGATTATATCTCACAACTTTGAGAAAAAAAAGAGTTTATGCACGTTTATAGAAAGAAAATCAGAACTGCAAGATATAAACAATTGTATCTCGCAATTCTGACTTTCTTTCTTGCAATTCTGACTTTATCAGAATTGCGAGTTTATATCTCACAATTCCTTTTATCGCAATTCTGACTTTTATAAACTTTTATAGATGTAAACTCACAATTCTGACTTTTTTCTCTCAATTCTGACTTTTTTCTCAGAATTGTGAGTTTATATCCCATAATTCTGACTTTATAACATGCAGTAGGTGTGAGTTATTAAGGCAGAATTGTGAGATATAAACTCGCAATTGTAAGGAATTTTTTTATCTTCTTTTCCCCAGAATTGGACATTATAACTGACAATTGTAACTTCAGAATTGTGAGAAAAAAGTCAGAAATGCGAGTTAGCAGTTAGTTTTTAGCTGCATTATTGTCAAGGCTCATTCACACTAAAAGCGATAAGTATTCTGAAACCATATTAGTGTCCACACCAACAGACTATAACGTTCAGTTTGTTATAAGCAAACGCTGCAGTTTTGTTTGTTTAAATGCTTGAGCTCTTTGAAGTCAGGTGGATTCTGATTAGCTGTCAAGTTTTTAACATTCATCAGCTGGAAAAACATCATTCTGAAAGTGATTCCAACAATATTGTTCCTCATGTCATTATTGTTGTAGTTTGGACTTCCCTATTCTCACAGAATTAGACTCCTTATTATAACTTCCAATTTCACACCAAATGTCTTTGGTGTGAACGGACCTTTAGTCTCCAACACTATCAACCACTCCAGATGTTATGCTGAACTCAATGTTTCATGACCATCAAAACATGCATTCGGCATTCTCACCTGTTCCATATAACAGTGCCAGAGATCTTCTGCATTTCGCCCAGTGCAGCCAACAACAGAGATGATTTCCCACAACCCACCTGGCCCACTATCATAGTTAACTGACCTGCAGAGAGAATCAATCAAGAATCAAGATAAATGGGTTTCATGGAGCAAAAAATCATGTTAAAATAATTAGGGATGCACGATATTGGAGTTTTGCCGATATCCGATATGCCGATATTTTTCAACTCATTTTGGTCGATATATTTCCTTTCGTTTGGAAACAACACCAAATCTCTCCTGTGTAGAAATTATAAACAAATTATTTTAAATTTTGGTTAGTTTTGAACAAGAACTTATTTGTTAGAATTAAATAAACAATAATTAAAGTTATTTTATAATGACAGTACATTGAAGATGTGAAAATAACTATAAATAAACTATTTCGCTGAATGTTTAATTTTTTTTATTTATTTCAAAAAGATGCAGTGCTAACCTTAACATTTTATTTTAAGATTTAACACTTGTAAATGGTCTAAAGCAAAAGAGTTGTAAAAATTCTGAAAATCTTTTAGAGCTTAATACATGTTTAAGAGCTTAAACATAATTTGTTTAAAAAGTATTACACATTAATGAATAAATCAGTATATATACAATTATTTAATTTATGTGTCATGTTTGTGATTTTTGGTTGTTGTTGTTGTTTATGGAAGCTATAGATTCTGACCTTTAAATCAAAACATACTCATGATTTTATGGCATCAATTACTGCTTTATTTAATCAGAAACACAGTCTAATATTTATTTGTGTATTTTGCTTTCATCTTATAAGAAGTAGGCCAAAAGCACCCCCTACGGAATTAAAACTCCTTACTGAGCGGGTATTAGGACCCGGGGGAGGCTGCCGCTGCACGAGCTAAATGCAGCAATCCAAAACAGTGAATCTAATCATCATTCAGGCAAAACTTTGCTTCAAGAATGAGCCACACTGCTGACGTGATCTAATCGCTAGCACACCCTGAGCACATGTGAGTTAATGTATTCCTCTTATCGGCAAGACATATCGGCATAATTTTTCATATCGGGCCGATTCAGATATTGGTGTCGTGCATCCCTAAAAATAATAGTTCACCTGAAATGAAAAATCTGTGTTTTTCAAATAACAATTTAGGGCCCTATTTTAACGATCTAAGCGCATGGTCTAAAGCGCAAGGCGCAGGTGCACTTAGTGTGGATTCGACGTGTCCAATCAGAGTCTCAATTTCCATTCCCTTTAAGAGCCTGTTGCGCTCTGTTGGATTCACTATTTACATGGCGGAATTTGCAAGCGCAAAGACTGAACGCGTCTCCAGAGGGGAAACGGAGCTGCTCGTGCATGAACAAATAGGTAGGCGAATTCTGATACATGCAATGACTATCCATTATGACATGTAGGCATTTTTATATTTATGTAGCATTCACAATAATAATCCCTTCTTTTATAATAATTCACTTTTACTTTGTAATCCTTTAATTTTTATTATTTGGCATGTTTGTGTGCTGCTCTCTGTGTGTGTAATATGCAGAGTGTACGCGCGCTGTGGACCCGCCTATAGGCGCATATTTCTAATGTGCTCTTTAAATAGCAAAAAAAAAACTACTGCGCCATTGACTTTAGACCAGGTTTTAGTTGGTCAATGGTGCAGTCTATTTCAGTTGCCTCAAAATAGCAACGGGCCAACAGTGCGCCTGAACACACCTTGTTTTCAGACCAGCACGCCCATGATGGGCGTGGGAAACAGATGGGCGCAAAGGAATTTTCTATTTAGACAACATGGTGTAGGACGTGAAAATGATAACTGCATCGGGCTGAAACTAGCAAAAAACACTTGCGTTGCGCCTGGCGCTGCATTGTGTCGGGTGTAAGAAAGGCCCTTAAATTTCAATCTTTTCTACACACAAAATGATTATTTGGCTTTAGAATATATCACACAAGTCATACTGTATGGGCTACATTTATGATACTTCGTGTCCTTTCGGAGCTTAACAGCATAAGCAACCATCAACATTTTTATTGTAAGGAAAAGAGCAGCCTGTGCATTCTTTAAAATGTCTCCTATTGTTTTCCACGTAAACAAGGAAATGTAAAACACATGGGTTTGGAATGTAACTAGATTTTTTTCATTTATGGGTGAACTATATGTTTTAAGTTAGTAGATGGGATCAGGAAACACCACAAGCCACATTCAAAGCAACATGAGCGCCACCTCCAGTATGTGTAGATGTATTTTTGATAGGACTTACCAAAAGGAATCTTAATATTCACATTGGACAAGGTTGGGGTTCCATCAGTCCAGCTGAAATATCCATTTGTGATCTGGAATGGATATAAAGGAGGACAACTGTTATTCTCATTCATAATGGGCGCTCAGTTTCCTGTTTACTGCCTGAGAACAGAAATAACCTGCATAGTCTCACCTTGATGCAGATATCTTCATCCTCCACCGCCAGCGGCTCATCCTCCTGCTTGCTCTGAAGGGCGAAGCTGTTCCAGTCGTCTCTGACGGGTCGCTTACGGTTCACCACCTTCAGAGGCTTTATCAGAGGTGAGAAAAACAACATCAAATCTGATGAAGCTCAGCGTGAACAGCCTCTTTAACAGTGCTAACCTCTCCATGCCAACCAGTACTGTGATATTACAAACATGAATAATGTATAGTCACAGTCATGAATAAAAATAACTCAATATTGCGATCCCTATGGCTGGATTAGTGAAAGTGTGTCAGCATAAGCCTTAAGGCCTATTTATATCAAAAACTAGAATTTGACTTTTAATCAAAATAATGCATTTCTGTGGGCCTATTCATATATGAAAATGTATCCACAGCTTTTTTCCATATAATAATAATAATAATAACAAAAATTCAGACTAGATGTCAGACCATTCCATGAAAAAAAAAAAAAGATCATTACAGAAAAAATATATACTATTCCTATAAAGAATGAATCTAATTTCAGACATAAGGTCACTATTTATTTATTTATTAAAATAAACAATTACAGACAAAAGGACACAATTTAATGAATGTGTTTGTTGAATAGATAAATAGTTTAATAATTTGTCTTATTCACTTTAATAATAACATTTCAGATGATAGGCCCTTTTCCTTCATTCATTCATTCATTCATTCATTCACTCACATCAAGAATGAAACAAATTTCAGATAAAAGGTCACATTTCAATTAATTAATGTATATACAGTATGTATTTATTGAATAAATTAATGATTCAATACATTATTTTAATATATTTTATATTATTTTAATAGTGTATACTGTGTATATTTATGATGTATATATAAATACAAACACATGCATGTATATATTTAAGAAAAATATGTTGTTTACAGGCGCATCTCAAAAAATTTTAATATTGTGAAAAAGTTAATTTTCTTTGTAACTTATTTCAAAAAGTGAAACTTTCATATATTCTAGATTCATTACATGTAAAGTAGAACATTTCAAAAGTTTTTTTGTTTTAAATTTGATGATTAGAGCTTACAGCTCATGAAAGTCCAAAAACCAGTATCTCAAAATATTAGAATATTTCCTAAAATCAATCAAAAAAAGGATTTGCAAATAAGAAAAGTTCAAATACTTTAAAGTATGTTCATTTATGCACTCAATACTTGGTCGGGGCTCCTTTAGCACAAACTCAAGCATCAGTGAGGTGTGGCATGGAAGCGATCAGCCTGTGGCACTGCTGAGGCACTATTGAGCCTTCAGCTCGTCTGTATTGTTGGATCAACTGTTTTCATTTTGTCTCTTGAAAATATCCCATAAATTCCATATTGGGTTCAGGTCAGGCATGTTGGCTGGCCAATCAAGCACAGTAATATCATGGTCAGCAGAGCACTTGGAAGTGGTTTTGGCACTGTGGGCAGGTGCTTAAGGCCTGCTGGAAAAGGAAATCAGCATCTCCATAAAGCTTGTCAGCAGATGGAAGCATAAAGTGCTCCAAAATCTCCTGGTAGACGGCTGCATTGACTTTGGACTTGATAAAACACAATGGAGCAACACCAGCAGACGTCACGGCACCCCAAATAGTCACTGACTTCAGAAACTTCACACTGGACTTCATATGGGGTTCAGGTCAGGCATGTTGGCTGGCCAATCAAGCACAGTAATATCATGGTCAGCAGAGCACTTGGAAGTGGTTTTGGCACTGTGGGCAGGTGCTTAAGGCCTGCTGGAAAAGGAAATCAGCATCTCCATAAAGCTTGTCAGCAGATGGAAGCATAAGGTGCTCCAAAATCTCCTGGTAGACGGCTGCATTGACTTTGGACTTGATAAAACACAATGGAGCAACACCAGCAGACGTCACGGCACCCCAAATAGTCACTGACTTCAGAAACTTCACACTGGACTTCAAGCAGCTTGGATTCTGTGCCTCTCCAGTCTTCCTCCAGGCTCTAGACCTTGATTTCCAAATGAAATGCAAAATTTACTTTTATCTGAAAAGAGGACTTTGGACCACTGAGCAACAGTCCAGTTCTTTTTCTCCTTAGCCCAGGTAAGATGCTTCTGACATTGTTTCTGTTTCAGAAGTGGCTTGGTAGCCCTTTTATTGAAGTCGTCTGAGTGTGGTGACTCTTGGACTATGTTCACACTGCAGGCAAATGTGGCCCAAATCTGATTTTTTTGCTCACATGTGACTCAGATCTGTTTTTGTCATGACAGTGTGAACAGCACAAACCGCATGGTATCTGATCTTTTTGATTCTGATTTGTGCCACTTCCACTTGGTACTAAATCCGATCCATGTCAGATGTTTTGCAATGCGACTGCAGTGTGAACGGTCATGTTGGATTTCATGCGGCTTTTATGTCACTCTAGATCAACATTCGTCATAATTCCGTGCTAACGGGAAACACTTCAAAGATTTTACATACCCAAAAAGTTATCAAGAAAGTGGCCAAAGGTAATCAGTGGAAGTGTGATGTGTCAGAACTCATGTGTATTACATTGACAACTCTACAAGCAAAACATGAGGGCTCGTATCACAAAAGTTTCAAAACTCTGCTTTCTTTTGTCACATTCTTGTCTTTATTTTTCATATTGCCTGTGCATAATTTCGCTGGCTTCTGCAGCAGATCACACTATAAATAAACGCATAATCGCTTAATTTATATCCGTGTTTACTTCCGTATGACTGCGCAAGTGTTGCCAAATTCACATTTTCCCCACGGAATTGGGCTACTTTTTCCTCTGCCGCGGGATGTTTTTCAACTTTGTGGGTTGACGCGACCCCACTAACGCGATGTTTATCTTCCTGAACATGATTGGGCAAGTTTTGGACTAGTTTTGAGAAAGAATTGGGTGGATTTTGTTGTGAAAATCTGGAAACCCTGTTCATATCGTTCTTTTGCACATGCGGGTCAGTTCAGAATCATGATCGGTTCACACTGGAAATCTGATATTGGCCAAATTTAAAACAACAATGTGAACAGCTATACAAAAAAATCGGATCTGAGAAAAAAATCGGAATTGAGCGCTAAGGCTTGCAGTGTGAACGTAGCCTTGATGCAATGACTCCAGCTTCAGTCAACTCCTTGTGAAGCTCTCCCAAGTTTTTGAATCGGCTTTGCTTGACAGTATTCTCAAGGTCATCTCTGTTGCTTGTGCAGCTTTTCCTACCCAATTTCTTCCTTCCAGTCAACTTTGCATTTAATATGCTTTGATACAGCACTCTGTGAACAGCCACCCCTTTCAGTAATGACCTTCTGTGTCAATGATTGTCTTCTGGACCATTGCCAAGTCAGCGGTCTTCCCCGTTATTGTGGTTTCAAAGAACAAGGGATACCCGGAATTTAACCCTCTGAGGTCGACTAACGCGGATACGCGTTTTGTGGCATCTTCTCCTGATAACACCGAAAATAACTTAAATTACACTTTCAGTTTTGATCTTACAGATAAGAGCAATACATCAATCTAATCTGTAAAGTGTCTACTTTTATTTGTGTACACACATAATAACAACAGAACTTTGTGTATTTATAAAATAAAAAAAACAAACAGGGTGGGCGGTCTGCCGCCTTGGTCTGCGTAATCTTTA